TGATGCTGCTTGGCCTGCTGTGTTCACCCAGCTCTACACCTTGTATATCTCAGATTCTCCAGCATCTGCAGTTCCTACTATCTCTGAAGCTCATGAGCTTCCGCGTTAACTCTTGTTCTTCTTTCCACTAATGTCGCCAGTCTTCCTCCCGTTGCCTATAACACCCTGTTGTAATACTGTAAATGCAAAGTTATTGTAGGCTATTTCTTTCTCGTGTGAACATTGATAAGAGGGAGCAGTTACTTTATTGAGCTGCTGCCCTCCTGTGGGCTCTACAAAATCCCAAATCAGCAATTCTCCAAAACGCAAGCGGTCAATCCCGAGTGTCGAACTTTTCAAAAAAAGTCATTCTACAGAGTTTAAATAAATTCAAACCCCTCCCCTCACAGTGAACTGAAAGTAATTTTTTTTAAGTGGGTGCGTGCGAATGGCGCAAGTGGACCATGAGTGCAGATCCTCAAGTGTCTAGGAATAACTATGTATAGCGGCATCAACAAATTAATTATTTTGCTTCTAAAAGGACGGCAGTACTGAACTACTGCAGATCCGGAACATGCTAAACATTACGCTGATTATTAAAACAGTCACCCTGCCTTTAATCACACTTTCTAAATCGGATGACAACATCTCAAACCTGTGCATCCCGTTTACTTGCCGGTTCAGTTCTGCCGGCGGAGGCTGGGGCTTTCCACTCCTGGGCGGAGAGTGAGCGGTGGAGCGGGTTGTCGGACTGCTCAGGCCAGCTGGTCCCGGCCCCGGCCCCCGCCCCCGGACGGCTCTCGGTGTTGCCGATGTTGACGAACGGGTTCCTCCCCCTCCTCTGCCGCTTGCCGCAGGGTCTCGGCTCCTCTTTGCCGGCCGGGGTCGGGGGATCCGAGGGGACGCCGAGCCGCGGAGAGCTGCGAGCGCGCTTCTTCCTCAGCCTCAGCGTCTCCGACGGCTTCTTAAAACTGGGCGAATAACCGGCCAGCTGCACGGCCACCGACATTTTAAAACCCGGTCAAAAATCAGGCGCACCGAGTTTTTCGCCCGAAATCCAGGAATTAATCGATATATTGTTGGACAACCATATGTTTCACCTTCCCCTTAAATATTTATGTTCAAAAGCAGTAATGAAACATCTTTCCCTGTTTTCACCCTCTTTTTAAAAATAAAAACAAAATCATGAAATATCACTGTCTCTACGGCCGGAGGAAAAATATTTTTAAAATTTCGCGCGAACAAACAGTTGGAAGTTTCCCGCCGAGGGAGCGCGCATGCGTAATACTGGCCCTGCCCAAATGGGGCGGGTGAAATTCCCGCGCAGGCGTATTGTGGTCCCTGTTGGAGTGTGTTCCAGAAGCATCCAGCTGGTGAGCAGTGTTTTTGGAAGTATCTTCGTCGAGTTATTTATAGTATGGAATAAAAATACCCTTTGGCTCGTGGTGTCCCACTAAGTCATCCAACCCCAGTGTCTCTATCTTCATAGCTGGAGCGCTCCAGGCCTGGCAATATATTGGTGAATCTGTTCTCCGCCCTCTCCAGTGCATTCACGTCCCACCAGCAATGGGTTGCCTACAACTGCACACAAGGCTGTGTCCTGACTAACGTTAAAAACAGCTCCCTCAAGAACCTTAGAGCTCCCTCGTACCCTTGTATACGTTGCCTTGACTAATAAAGGCAAGTAGCCCATATTCGTTCAAGTAAAAACAAAGAACGGCTGAACATTTGAAACAAAAAGAGTGCTGGTGAAAATCAGCAGGTCTGGTTGCAGTGCACTTCTAAAGGGTCACTGGACTCTAAACATTAACTTCATTCTCTCCATAGATGCTGCCACACCTGCTGAGTTTCTCCAGCAATTTTGTTTTCATCCTGTATTCTTTCTTTGCCATCTCACCTTGTCCGGCTGCCTTTAAGGATCTATGTACATGCATACCAAGGCTTCTGTGATCATCCTAGGGTCCCACCATTCAACACATTTCTTTGCCATGGCTTGTGCTCTTAAAAATACGTTATCACACTTCAGATCCATTTACCATAGTTCAGCCTGACCAGATTGTCTCTATCATTCTGGATTCAAAGGCTTTCTTCCTCACTTTTTACCACACCAGTTTTGTGTCACTGCAAACTTACTGTTTGTACCTTGTACACTCACAGCATGTTGTGCTAGGAGAGCAATGGTTTCATCAATCTTGAGAATCAGGGCAACTGTTTTATCCTGGGTTAGAGATAGTAGGATCTGCAGATGCTGGAGAATCCGAGACAACAACGTGCAGGGCTGGATGAACACAGCAGGCCAAGCAGCATCATAGGAGCAGAAAGGCTGACGTTTTGGGCCTAGACCCTTCATCAGAAAAGGAGGAGGGGAAGGGGGTTCTGAAATAAATAGGGAGAGAGTGGGAGGCGGATAGAAGATGGATAGAGGAGAGGATAGGTGGAGAGGAAACAAACAGGTCGAAGAGGCGGGGATGGGGCCAGTAAAGGTGAGCGTAGGTGGGGAGTTAGGGAGGGGATAGGTCAGTCCAGGGAGGACGGACAGGTCAAGGGGGCGGCATGAGGTTAGTCGGTAGGAGATGGGGGTGCGGCTTTAGGTGGGAGGAAGAACAGGTTAGGGAGGCGGGGACGAGCTGGACTGGTTTTGGGATGCGGTAGAGGGAGGGGAGATTTTGAAGCTTGTGAAATCCACATTGATACCATTGGGCTGCAGGGTTCCCAAGCGGAATATGAGTTGCTGTTCCTGCAACCTTCGGGTGGCATCGTTGTGGCACTGCAGGAGGCCCAGGATGGACATGTCATCTGAGGATTGGGAGGGGGAGTTGAAATGGTTCGCGACTGGGAGGTGCAGTTGTTTATTGCGAACCGAGCGTAGGTGTTCTGCAAAGCGGTCCCCGAGCCTCCGCTTGGTTTCCCCAATGTAGAGGAAGCCACACCGGTTACAGCGGGTGCAGTATACCACATTGGCAGATGTGCAGGTGAACATCTGCTTGATGTGGAAAGTCTTCTTGGGGCCTGGGATGGGGGTGAGGGAGGAGGTATGGGGGCAGGTGTAGCACTTCCTGCGGTTGCAGGGAAAAGTGCCGGGTGTGGTGGAGCTGGAGGGGAACGTGGAGCGGACAAGGGAGTCACGTAGAGAGTGGTCCCTCCGGAAAGCAGATAAGGGTGGGGAGGGAAAGATGTCTTTGGTGGTGGGGTCAGATTGCAGATGGCGGAAGTGTCGGAGGATGATGCGTTGGATCCGGAGGTTGGTGGAGTGGTACGTGAGGACGAGGGGGATTCTTTTTTGGTTCTTATTGCGTGGACAGGGTGTGAGGGATGAGTTGCGGGAGATGTGGGAGACACGGTTGAGGGCGTTCTCCACCACTGAGGGGGGGAAGTTACGGTCCTTGAACTGTTTTATCCTGGGATCTACTTTTAAGTTAATCTGAACAGTAAAGGTGATTGGAAATACGTGAGTGATATCTCGGAGGACTAATTGGTTCATAAATAGAAAGCGGTTAAGTGAGAAGATTAGAGCTGACTTGCCACTATTATCATCTCCTGCCCGCTCATTGAATGATACAGGACAAAATGGGGGCATACAGTATTGATCAACCAAGAGCTGATATTCGTATCCCATGCTACCAAATCACCAAGGTTCTTTCAAAGAATGTTCAAGTTGGACATGAAATAAGAGATGCAGGAACAGAACTAAGCTATTTAGCCCATTAAATCTCCTCTGCCATTTGGTCAGGGCTGATATACATCTCAATCCCATTCTCCTGCCTTGTCCCCGTAATCCATAATCCCCTTACTAATCAAAACCCAATGACTTGGCCTCCACAGCCTTCTGAGTCAATCAATAAGTTCCACAGAGTCACCACTCTCTGACTGAAGAAATTCCCATCTCTGTTCTAAAGGGTTGTCCCTTCAGTCTGAAGCTGTGCCGTTGGGCCCTAGTCTCTCTTGCTAGTGGAAGTTTCTTCTCCACGTCCACTATCCTGAAACTCTCAGAACAGGGAGATCCTTGTCATCCTTCTAAACTCCATCTAATACAGACCGAGAGCCCTCAGCTGCCTCTAATATGACAAGCTCTTCATCCCAGAAATCATTCTTGTAAACGTGTTTTGGGTCCCTCCAACGCCAGCACATCCTTCCTTAGATACAGGGCCCCAGGCTGCAGAGAGTGTGGTGCGGTACAATTACAACATTTAAAAAGCATCTGGATGGGCACATGAATAGGAAGGGTTTAGAGGAATATGGGCCAAATGCCGGCAAATGGGACTAGGTGGGATTGGAATGTCTGGTCGGTGCAGGTGAGTTGGACCGAAGGGTCTGTTTCTGTGCTGTATGACTCTGTGGCCTCCAAGTCTGTTCATGCTTCAGATTTTCAAAGTCTTTCCCTATTTAGAAAATATTCTGTGCCTCCATTCTTCGTACCAAAGTGCATGACCTCACACTTTCCCACAATGGTCAAAGGAGTGGCAGATGGAATGTACCTTCCAAGCTGTTGAAGACCTTCTGCAGCCTCCCAACACTACCTATCCCTCCAGTTATCTTTGTCTCATCTGCAAACTTATCAACAACACCTGGAGTTCCTTTGTCCAGATTGTTAATGTATAATGTGAATAAATACAGATTCCTACAGAACTCCACTTGTCACTGGCTGCCATCTTGAAAGAGACCACCTTATTCTGCCTTCTGCCAGTCAGCCAATCCTCTGTCCATGTCACTACCTCACCCCTAACTCTGTGGGCTCTTATTTAGCAGACTCCAGTGGACACCTTGCCAAAGGCCTTCTGGAAATTCAAATAGATCCACCAGCTCTCCTTTGTCTTACTTGCTTGCTCCATTCCCAAAGAATCCTAACAGGTTTTTCAGGCATGACACCTCCTTGAAGCCATGCTGACTCAGCCCTATTTTACTGCGAACTTCCAAGTACTCCGCAACCTCATTCTTAATAATGCATTCTAAAATCTTACCAATGACTGAGGTCATGCTAAATAGCACATAGTGTTCTTTCTTCTGCCTCCCTCTCTTCTTAAACAGTGGCGTTACATTAACCACTTTACAGTCCTCTGGGACTCTTCCTGACTCCAGTGATTCCTGAAATAATACCTCCACAATCTCCTCAGCTATCTCTTTCAGAAACCTTTGGGGTGTAATCCATATGGTTCAGGTGACTTATCCCTCTTCAGAACTTTCAGCTTCCCAAGCAATTTCTTTGTAGTGATGGCCACTACGTTCTGCCTCCAGATACATTTTTTAAATTTCAAAAATATACTTTATTCATAAAAAATCTTTGTACAAATACATTGACACAAAAGTAGTTCTATTCTGCACAGTTGCATATCAAGTAAATACACACAAACGTTGGAGGTTGTCTATACAGAAACCAAAGACCTCTCTTACACATACAGTACTAATATTCACATATATTTGACACACTAGGAGGGTTCCATAACTGAACAGACCCCCATTTACCTTTAGCAGGAAGACCTCAAACTGGTCTTTTCCCACTGCGCTTTGGCGGCAGCTGCCCCAAGCTTTAGTACGTTGCTCAGCATGTAGTCCTGGACCCCCTTGGAATGTGCCAGTCTGCAACACTTGGTTGGGGTCAAATCCTTGTTCTGGAAGGCCAACAAAGCTTGGGCAGGCCAAATAGCATCTTTCACCAAGTTCTCCAGGTACAACTGATGTTTGTCTTAGTGTGTGTCCCGGGGAACAGACCGTAGAGCACAGAATCCCATGTTACGGAGCTGCCCAGGACTAAGATTGACAAAAACCACGGTATCTTCCTCCAGACTTCTTTTGCGAAGGCTCATTCCAGATGTGCAGGTTAGGTGATTGGCCATGCCAAATTGCCGATGAGCAAGCTTGGTGGATTAGCCGTGGGACATGCAGGGTGACAGGGATGGGGTAAGGGGTGGGTCTGAGTGGGATGCCCATCGGAGGGTCAGTGGGTACTCGATGGGCTAAATGGCCTGCTTCCAAACTGTAGAGATTCTATGATTGTAGAATACAATCGTGTACTTTGGACCTCCAATACTGGCTTGTTTTTCCCCCTACCATTGGGTGACAATAATTTAATCATTTCAACAGTACTCATTCAAACTCCATTCCCAAGATCTGACCATTATGATTTATGTATGAGCGCCAAATACTATTCAAGGTGTCTTAAGTTGGATTCTGTTTCAAACATGAAAGGTTTGAATTTTGACATAGCTTCTCCTAATTCCCAGCTGTAACTTTGGTGAAGGATTTGCGAAAATCTGAAGATTGCAGAAATTGAA